AAAAATCAGTTGTGGGCCCTCTTTCACAACCAGAGAATAATCATCTAATGAAATTGAAAGCAATGCACGCAACACACAGTAATTGTTCAATATAAGTAATTATTGTATACAACTACATTTAATCTCTAAAATTCAGTGTTGCGGGGTAAATTCTAAAGCTTTGCACATCAACAGGAAGATTCAGCTCCTCTCCAGGATACCAATCCCTATCCCAAACAATCCAAAAAATGTCTAAAGAAATCACCAACACTGCTCAGATATCATCGCCTACTTATTATAGGGCAGCACTGGTCAAAGCAACACTACATTCAAGAAGTGAACTAAATAAGCTTTGCTACTCCTGTCATAAACAACAGCAAATTCTTCCAGCACAAATCCAAACACAAAAGAGCGAGTCCCTTCATTATATATGATTCTGAAGAGAAGAGAAATTATCAAAACAGCATCACTGGAACAGAATGCAAGACAGAATCTGCCTTGAAAACACACACAAACAGAGAGCAAGAAAATCTTTCCAATTATCATCAGAGAAAGGGCAATATTAAAAAAAAAAATCACAGCAGTTTTAGTTTTAGCTTGGTAAGTATGGAAAGCAGCTACCATTGCTTCCCTTTCCACCTTGTTTTGTAGTCCTTCTCAAGAGACAGGGCCAAACCCATAGCCAGAGTTAGGAGGTATGCCAGCTGCTACCACTGCTTCAATGGATATTGGAAAAGCCAGTGAGACAAGGATAACTAAGGGCATGTGCAAAATCTCTAGGATCCCTAGCGTGGCTATCAGCACCAACAAGCAAAAGAAGAGGCTCAAGTTGAGCCTTGACCAGCTCAAGTTACCATTAGTAAATCAAAACAACCTATGGCTTCAAACATACAACCTTCTCTTCAAATAGTTTGGATAGCAGAGTCAATCTCTCGATAGTTGTAATTTCTTGTTTCCTAAATTGCCATTTTTAGAGTTTATCAGTCAATTCCAGCAAAGTCAAGTAAGTCTTAACTGACACAGAGTTACCTCAGAGGCTAGCAAGATTTATTCACAATAGATCAGCCATTAAAATGTACTATTTTCAAATTAAGATAATCTAATCTTATAGATTCAGTGTCTAATGGACCCACAGCAAGACAGGCAAAATTCACAGACTGCTAAGCATATCCTCTTAACCAGTCTCATCCATCAGGGCTGCCAAACAACATTACTGTGGATGTCTCAAGAGAATAATTTCCATCACGTATCGAGCACCAACTGCAAAGCCTCAACTTTTCACAGTCACTGCTACTTTTTTTTCCTTTAAATTCAATCAGTTGACATTCCTTTTAATAGGATGGGTAGCATCAATCCCTCCAGTAATCAGAGAAGATATGTAAAAAGGTCTGATTTCCCATTCCCTGACTTATTTTTGTTACAAAGTCCCCAAGAGAAATAAATACATCAATAAGGTCATTTTGGGAACATATGCAGTAAGTATTCCCCACGTAATAAGAGCTAAAGGAATGATTTATAGAAGAGGAGCCTCATGATGAAATATAAGCAGATCAGAAAAGCTGCATTTGTGTTCCTGAACAATCCAATCACAACAACAAAGAGAGATGTAAGCTGTACTGGAAAACACCACTTACAAAAGCTCTAGATTCTAAAAAGTCTTATTCTTATGTTCGATTTATCTCTCTTAAGAATTCTATTTTTTCACACAAGCTCCAAAACTTTCTAGCCAGAGAATTTTTCTAGACTACAGTTCTATTTCAGGTGTTTTTTCCTTTAAAAGAAAAAACACAGAAATTAAATTTTCCAAAGAAAACAGCCATTAAAAACCATCAGCAAAGTTCTTCTCAAATCCACAGCATCCTTTCCCATCAACATTCTTCACAAATTCAATCAGTTAAAAGCAAAAAAAGAATTATAGTTTCATACATATAAACTTATATTTGACAAACATTTCATTAGAAAAACATTTAAAAATCATCTATTACCATTCTGTCTCAGCACATCTTGCCAATGTAAGCACCTCTTCCTGAATGTCAGGGAGAGTATTCACACAGCAGAAATGTAAGAATTCAGTAACTCTTGTCTTACTTATTAAAAGTGCTTAGCCCAAGTACTAAATACATGCCATTGGCAGCAATTGATTTCTGACACTTCAGCTAACTCTGTGATGTATTTAACACATAAAGGACCCCAATTTCATCATGTAGAGAGGGACTCAATGTTAGCAGGTAGCAGCTGCCAGCACTTGGATACTGTTATTAGAACTGGTTTAGTCAGTTTATACGCGCAGCGTTTATGTGCCTTCTGGTTCAGGCATTAGCAGCTAGATCACACACTTGAATCACTCTGTGAAAAGCACTTTAAAATAGAGCTGGGGTCTAGGTTCACTTTTATCCCTGTAAACGCAGAGCAGTTTAATTGACTCTTATGTTTAAAGTCAAGGTGCTGAATTTAGTCTCAGGTTCCTCTAACACAATCCAGGAGGGGACAAGACTGACACGTGAACCAACAGAACACTGAGCAAAGGTAAGCATTCTTTGGAAAGACAGATTTCTGTAACCCATACAGAGACAGAAGAAATCAAACTCTCACATAAAAAATAATTAATATCCCCATTTTTCTCAGTACTGTGTATCACTTCTACTCTGATTTTTTTCTCCTTTGAAGAATAAAAAGTGAAGAAGGTGAAGCCCTTCCTTGGTTAGGCCTACACAGCTACCCAGAACAGAATGGGAACCATTAGTTGATACAACTAAGAGGAAACGTGGTGCAGTAGTTTCTGACTGTGTTGAAGTTGTGTGCAGCACACTGAAGCCAGTGAGCAGAAAGACTTTCCCCTCATCTGACCTAGTTCTGTCAAAGATTCACACATGGAAGACAGTGGGTGTAGAGGTGACACATGCAGTATCTTCAAAAATTTTGGAAGGCAACACCTCACAGTGAAAGACACTTAAGACTTTGATAATGAAAGGAAAGCTGGCTGAACTCTAGAAAATTCAGAGAAGATATCAGAAGCCTGCCCAGACCTGTAGGAGTACAATGAAGTGAACAAAACTATATCTAAAAACAATTACGGCAAAAAGTGTCAGATGGACAGTTAGTTTCAGGATAAAGCTACCTGATGCTGCAAGTATATTCCATTTGGAAGGAGATACAGATTTAAAGAATCCTCTTGGTTTGTTTTTTTGGGTTCTTTTTGTTTCTTAAGCAGCATGCAAACAACATTAAAAAAATCTGGAAAAGCCACAAAATTTTCTGGATTCTGAATTAGTTCTGTCTGCAATGTAACAGGTACAGCGTAAAAATGTACTGTCCCAAAAGTGTCTTCACATAAAATGAACAAAGAACAACAGAAATAAGGATCAAAGGCTCAAAAAACCATTAATTTTTCATTAAATTATTCTAAAATGCAAATGTCAATTAGCTTCTACCCACTGTATACCCAGCCACTGGCAGGTAGGTTCTGCACAAACAGTGGAACAAGCTGTCCAGAAAGGCTGTGGAGTCCATCCTTGGAGCTACACAGAGCACGACTGTGCACATGCCTGAGCAACCTGCTGGAGCTGACTGTTCGGAGCGGGGTCATAGACTGGAGGATGCCCAGAGGTCCCTCCCACTCCAGCAATTCCATTTTAAGATTAGAAAGGATTTCTGTGAAATTATTTAACAACAATGGGTTTTCTTCACACAGTGGATCAGAGAGGGTGCTCTGTATAAAATCAAAAGTCTTGATAAAAACTCAAACAGAATACAACTAGGAATGAAGCCACCTCTTCTCGGTGGACAGAAGAGGCCCTGGGACAATATGACCCAAGAAAAGCACTGGTCATCACTAATGAACTGATTAATGGGAAGCTGACAGTGAGGAGCCACGAAATGAGATTCACAGTCCGGAAATGAAAGGCCCAAAAAACTAATCACCTACTTAAAACTAACAGAACCGAAAGTTAAAACACATATACAACCATGGCAGCTGTCTGAGGCAAATCTTAATTCAACACTGTCAACACTCATCTTTCTGATCATATCACTAATTTCCTTTACAGTTCACTGGTAAGCCACTGTGTCTATAACAGGAATGCATCAAACAGGAAATAGAAAAGCTCCCCCTACACAGAAGGGACAGCAATCTTGGATCAAAACACATTATTGACCTTTCTTCAGAAAGGTAAGGGAAAGGAAGGGAGAGGAGGAAGGAAGGAAGGAAGGAAGGAAGGAAGGAAGGAAGGAAGGAAGGAAGGAAGGAAGGAAGGAAGGAAGGAAGGAAGGAAGGAAGGAAGGAAGGAAGGAAGGAAGGAAGGAAGGAAGGAAGGAAGGAAGGAAGGAAGGAAGGAAGGAAGGAAGGAAGGAAGGAAGGAAGGAAGGAAGGAAGGAAGGAAGGAAGGAAGGAAGGAAGGAAGGAAGGAAGGAAGGAAGGAAGGAAGGAAGGAAGGAAGGAAGGAAGGAAGGAAGGAAGGAAGGAAGGAAGGAAGGAAGGAAGGAAGGAAGGAAGGAAGGAAGGAAGGAAGGAAGGAAGGAAGGAAGGAAGGAAGGAAGGAAGGAAGGAAGGAAGGAAGGAAGGAAGGAAGGAAGGAAGGAAGGAAGGAAGGAAGGAAGGAAGGAAGGAAGGAAGGAAGGAAGGAAGGAAGGAAGGAAGGAAGGAAGGAAGGAAGGAAGGAAGGAAGGAAGGAAGGAAGGAGTGGTCTTGATGAGAAATAGACATGAAAGAATTGGAAACTATGTGATCCACATCAGTACTCAATTACTGAAACTTAATGGGCTTTGGCTGAGGCTTACAAAATCATTGATCTAGAACAAGGACCTTGCTCAAAACACACCGTCAAAAATAAGTTCAAAAAATGTGCTTTACTTAGTTAAACTAACCTCCAAAACCAGAAATTCAAACAGAGAAACCATTTCTTCCTGTGTTAGCTGCTCTTCCCAATGACACCACAGGACCATGGCAATTACTTCATGCCCTTATATAATATACACATGTTCCTTTCCACCCCAAAAGAGAAGTTTTGTTTGTTACCTCTTACCGACAGTTATTTTGACAGTTCTTTTCTGAGAGTCCATCCTCATCTTCTCCCATAATATCCACTGCCGAAAATATCAGTGCAACCAGAATTGCAAAGCAGCATACCAGTGCAAAGATCACAATGCATCTTTGCTGGGACTGAAAGAGATTAAGATTAAAAAAGTTTTAATGGCATGAACACATTCTTGTCAGTGACTTGAGACTCTGAAACTTTTACATAAAATCTAAATTTCTTTGAAGACATAACTGCAATAGCTGTCAACACGAAACACACCTCAAGATGTAAACACTCTCAAAACTGTCTTTCATGTATCACCTTGAGATGTATTTTAAATCTCTGAGACACTGCTTAATGATTCATCTCACAAATAATATTCATAATTTAAACTGCTTTCTGTTTGTACCCCAAGGAAAGCATTATGCATTAAAATAATGATTCCTACATTAACTACGTATTTTCTGATTGCGGCTCACAGGTAAAGTACACACTTTGAAACCAAGTTTTGTTGTATTTGGTTGAAACAAAACATGTCAATGCAAGAAGACTGAAGAACAAAGTCTTTTTTTTTTTCTACTGCTAGAAAAAGTACCTGCCATTGTCACTATGACTGTCATAGCCACTCAGACACTTTGGGAAGTCCTTGCCCCTCAATATCTATAATATAATGAACACAAATTAACAGATGATAAATGGGATTCAAGGAAACAATGGGAAACTGTTGCTCAGTATGACAGGTAATGCCTTCCATATCTCGGATTAAATATTAAAACATGGCATAGCACTACCTTATGAAATCTTGCAGTAACAAATCAGATGCACCTGGTACTGCCCTAGATAAATGTAAAACCTCCTAAGACCGTTGCTTGACATGCAATTTACATAACTGCATAAACGTACAGTACATTCTATTCTGAAACCAAATGTTCAAATACTGTGCATTTTCCTACTGAAGTAAATTTAAACAAGACCGCATCCATATAAAAACATCAATGTCTAACTCCTGTTGCGATAGTAATTTTCTTAATTTTCATTATTGCTCTATAATTACTTTGTCACATGGAGGAAAAGGCCTCATAAAGGAATGGGAAAGTGGGAAAGCATAAAAAATGTAAAGGAAAGGAAACAACATCATGCTTGCAGCCGATAGCAAATTTCACAGTATTTCCACTGTTCCTGATATTTTGTTTAAGTTTCAGAGTAATAAGAACATTTTCCCATACACCTAAAGAAAAGATCAAACTTTTTTTTTTAATTAAAAAAAAATCCAATACTTCCCAACTAGTGCACTTCTCAGGAGAAACATTCCCGTGTTTCTTTCAGAATAAATCAGATATAAAAATTTTATTTCAGTCTGTGAAAATACAAAACACAGCAAACAATTTCTTCAGACAAACAGGAAAAACTCATCTGAAATTTAGTGACAAATGTAGCCTTTAACAGTAACACCAAATCTATGGTTCAGGTTATAAGCCTATTTTAAATATAATGCATAGTAGACAATTTTATACATTTCAAATATATGTTTAAATCAGTATTTATATTATATTAACTAAAAAATTACCAGAATGCAGCATAAGAAAATGTTCTTCAGCCATAACAAAGCCAACCCATGAAAAAAATAAATTTGGAAAGTTTTTTTTTTTTTTTCCCTGCTGCTAGGTGGACTCATGACAACATTTGAAAAAAGTTGTAAGTTACTGCACCTGGGTGTCCAGAACTAAGGCTGCACAGTGGGACTTAAGAGAAAATTGTTAAACACTCTCATTGCCTCACACTACTAGCAAGAAAAAGTAAGAAGTGCTGAAGAAAAATAGGTATTCAGGTCTGGGACACTGCTGTATGCCATTTCTTCATCAGGACATTCAGACTGCCGCTAGGATGACCATTGTCTCATGCAGTACTGCATTATTTTTGCAGTACTGCAAATGTATTCACAGAAACTCTTTGATGCTGAATGTATCACCATGGCAGCAAGGCAGCAAAGCTACTCCCATAACCAGCAAACCAAAACGGGTCTGAGCTCGTTTTCTAGTCCCCAGGAGCAGGGGATGTGACCCAGCAGGGCTCGCAAACACAGCGCTCTTTTCCCTCCCAAATCAGGCTAACTGTTGCCATTTTACACACTGGGACTAATTTTAAGTTACTCTGGATAAATTTGAAGCACAAGCATCCTAGCTACCACACCATGTGAAAGACTTCATGCTATTGCTCCAGGGAGTAACTCTCATCTTATTACGCTGCCATGCAAGCTGCACAACAGCTATAGACAGCAGTGGGATCACTGGGCCAGCAGGGATCGCGTCAGCCTTTAAGGCTGGGGCAGTATTCACAGAGACAGCAGGAGATACTTCAATGAAGGGTGGTGTGTTGGAAGTCACAACACACCTCTAGAAACCTCTCAGCCTGCTTAAAGTTTGAAGGCCAAATCAATATAAAATCTACAGAGTACCAACAATAATACAGTACCACAAGGAGGAGTGGGTGTGGGGGGAAAAAAGGCAGCTGCAACAGATGCTTAAAGTTAAATACCAGGAAATCTTACGGCAGCAATTTCTGAAAGCACTACAGAAAGGGGAAGTCAAAATAATTCTAAATGGATCCTCCTAATCTAACATTAATTTCCATTCCACATTATTTTGGGGAACATATTCAAGGTTTCTTGACTTCTGTGCTGTCGTTGAAAAGTGTATGCAGTTTAAATCCCTGTTCTTTCATGGATTCAGCTTGTCAAGCTCTGCAGTTTGTGAGTACTGCTCATGTAGGCAGCACAAACTAAGTACCATTAGTAAGACCACTGCTATTCTACCAGCACGAAAATAAAAACAGAACCACACAAACCTATTTTACTGCTCTTATTTCACAGATCCTTTATATTATATATTATTATAATATTATTATATTATGCAGTTGTCTTTGACAAGTATAATGGATGAATTATCTCCCTTTTTCTTAAGTACCAGCTTAACAGTATGGTTACAAATAGCATAGGGAACCTTTTAAATCAACAGTCAAAAACTCCCCTGTGACTACAGTAGTTTTTCTTTGAACAAAGGATAGCACAAAATAGCAAATTAAATGTAGCAAAAATTCCAAGTTTGTGATTCTACCACTACATTTTCAGATACAGACACAGGTCTGAAGGGTCAAGCAAAGGCCATTAAAAAAAAATTTAAAGAGAGTAAGGAGAATTTTAAAAGGCTTCACAGTTCAGGTTGAACCTACTCCTCCTGAGTCGTGGGTTTTTCATTGCTTTTAAATCTATATATTACATTATAAATTAATGTTTGGAGATTATTTACATTAAAATTCATATTTGTACTATTAAAGAAAGAATAAAAACCAGCTCCTTACATCAAAAAAGTCTTCTAAGCCTATCTTTTCACAACAGTACAAGTCTTTATTTTCACACACTTAGCCATAATGCTGACCATTTTCAAATAACCTCTTCCTAATTGAAACAGACTAGGATAGACCATATCCATGTTCTATTATACCATTCATGCATGCCTCTGTGTGCATCTATGTGCAAGTAATAGCAGGCATTGTGAAAGAATCCAAAATCAAGGAGCTCACACCACTCATAGACTAGCAGGAACCTGCTAGGCTGCTCTTCAAACCCCTGTGTCTGTGGCCTTGGGCAGACTGCTTGTTTGATGCTGTCTCGTTGCACATCCCCCTGGCAGCTGGGGTCCCTCTGAGCTTATCAGAACCATCCTTCTGTTTCCTCCAGTAAGTGCCTCAGCATTCAAGCCTTCAGTCTTCAACCCTTAATTACAGAATACAGGGATCTTTAAAACTTATGCATTTCGTCTGTCCATATACCTAGTTAATTTGTAGAAATATTAATCCCAACAGATATTTGTTTAGCCTGTCCTCAAAAATCTAGAATTGAAAGAGATCCTGTAGTCTTTTCAGGCAACCCCATCCCATATCTAAGCACCTGACTGATGCTTAACTTAAGTCTCTTATGCTGCAACAATTCTTTTTTCCTTGCTGTACTCATGGAAAACTGTGAACATAGAATTTCATTCTCTCTTTTACATATTTAAAGGCTGCTATAGGTGCTAAGAGGCTTGGGGCCAGACCCCCTACAAGTCTGACTGTACTGATGGGCAAGCCCAGAGATTCTGTTGCATGAGAGACTTAAGGAAGATTGGGAAAGAAACTCCTGCAGGAACAAAGACTATCAAAAATACTGTGAGTAAACTGTGTTTTTTTCACCTGGCTCAACTAGCTTAAACAATACCTAAGTTAAAATAAATCCACCAAAACACTGCTGCATTACTAAAACAAAGCATGGGAATTTTTTCATGCTGTTATACCTCTAGGGAGAGAGTGAGAAGAAAAGCCAAAAGCTGCACAATGGTTATCCAGTACAGTACTATTCAGACTAAAGTTTAATCTGGGAAGGACTTGTTTGTGTATTATTAAGAAAAAGGATAGCCTATGTCAATTAAGCTTATCAGAGCCTGTGATACCCACGCAGAATTGAGAATAAGAGCAAGAAAAAGGCCTCCATCTTTACTGCACTTATATTGCTCAAAGCCTGCTAAGAACACTTCACTGGCTCCTGAAGCTTTCAGTTTTTTCCTCAAATAACAGGCATTCATTTGAGACTGAGATTTTAATCAGGAATTTATTCTTCCTCCAATGCAGTACAAGAATGTCTTCTCCCAAAAAAGGAGCCATGAAATTGCAATGCTGCATCTGCTGATAAAACTGACTGCATAACAAAACATGTCAGGCTTTGAACTTGTGCTTCATTTTTTTTATACCTATTTACAGACTGAAGAAGGCAATACTTATACACCACACTAATACAGGCTCTAAGAGGCAGGCTTTCACATCTTTGGCCATTTCATTAGTCTGCTCTTTCCTGCAACACACCTGAACACAAATGTGACAACAAAAGCACTCCTCTGCAACACATCTGTAACTGCTCAAGAGCCCTCAAAGAGCTGTTTATGAGTCTGGTTCCATGGGGTGCTGCAATATACCTGCCAAAGATAGCAAGAAACTGGACTTCAAGAATTAGCAATCATTCCAGATTACCTTTGGTCATGTGTGTTTATTAGAGAAAAACATTACTATAATCTGGAATCTGCATACAGTAATAATCTTCATTGCAGCCTTGAAT